GTTCTTATTGTTTAATAGAGTGAGTCATTAAATGGAAACAATGCCATCCACCTTGATACTTAATATAATCTTCCTAACTAAAACCTATGTACACATATATATATATATATATATATATATATATATGAGTCTGCCACAGCAGCACACTTCAGGATTTACTTCCCTAAGTGGCATTTAGAAGCTGGTATGATGAAGAGGAACACTTTGTATGGATAAAGAAGTTGTCTACCCATAAAAAGTGGTCCTCTTCCCTTTAGCATATACTTTCGTAAATTACATACATATAGGTAGGGTGAACGCAACTTCTGGATGAAGGAGTACCTTTTTTGAGTTACTATTTTCCTCTTTATAGCCATCCTTTATAAGCAAGTGAATTTCATAATATTTATTATTTTTATATGGCGAGTGAGTATTTGTGTGTGAGAGAGTATGTGTGTGTGACAGAGAGGGAGGGAGAGAGAGAGTGAGAGCGAGAGAGTGAGAGAAAGAGCGAGACAGAGAGAGAGAGGGAGGGTTTTGTGTTTTATGTCATATCCAGTATAACAGCCATGGTGCTCTGACCTGTCATGTTCTGACACAAGACCAGGTAACCGTGCCATCAATAGGCTGAAAGCTGCTCTTCCAGATTGTCACCTTATCATGGACTGACCAGGCCTAGCGGTCATTGTGGCCAAATAATCCCAGTTCAAATCCCCACGTATAACAATTATGAGAGTCCCGATGTTGATTTCGCTCCGAAATTGAATATGGAGAATAAGGTGTACTAAACTCGTCAATAAACAACGTGTTGAAGGGGTGTATTCCTGTTCCCCACCTTGAGGTGCGTGAAATACGTGGTCATCAATCCATTGCCTTTATAATAGATAGTCTAAATGTAATTTGTCAATCACAATTTATCAAACATTTTTAACATTTAACGAACATATGTGTTAAATCACGCGCCCTATCACAATAATGGTTGCAGATCATTGTATTTGAAAGGAGCGGGGTAGGCTTGTGGTTACAGCGTTCGCCAGTCCCGCCTAAGACCCGGGTTCAGTTCCCCATATGAGTACAGTATGTAAAGCCTCTCTATAGTTTCCCCCTATGATATTGCTGGAATATTGCTAAAAACGGCTTAAAGCTAAATTCACTCACTTACTCTCTGGTGCCATGTTACTTATCCCTCATATTGACCAGATGTCAGTTAGCGAAGCTGGTTTTCGGGTCATCTAGAGAGGACCTCATTAACAACCAGGGAATCCTCTTGAATTCTCATATATACTTGCTCACTCATAAAAACTACTTTTCATATCGGTCAAAGACCTACATAATACGTGACATTTGATCTAAATATGTCGGTATCAGGTTGAGAAACCTGTACAGACGAGTAAAAAGTGTGTTCGTGTTCAAAGCATACGGTGGAATATTTCCCCAAGTCACAGTGTGCCATCAACTCCTGCCGCATCTTCAGCGTAACAAGCTGCATCTCCCACGCACAGGAAATGTTTATCGTACCTGCTGTATCATCTATCGGTTCCCGCCTTCAGCAACTACAACTACACCAGTACCATTACAACGTCGAGCACAACGCCGTCTTGTCGACCATCAGCAAAGAAAAACAAGCTAAACATAATTATCTGCATCAGAGGCAAACGTGCCTTGGGTAGGTCATAGGCTTCGACCCTTGATCTCATTAGAAATTGAACACTTTACCCACAGACCTATAAACAGGACCATAGTATCTCGTTACTTCAATATTCTCCGACTATTCTTAGCCTACCAGACGGCAACACAGAAGAGGCCATGCTAGGATTACTGCCATTAGGTGAAACTTTTGTTCCAAACAGCTTGCCGTATGTTTACTTTTTTTCTGAGAAAAGAAGAGGGCGATGCATTGAAATCATGTGTCTTGTGCAGTTTAAATGCATGCCCTTCATATGAAAATCTCTTTATGGTTTACCTACACCGGTTCTATTGTAGACTGGGGGTTAATCGGAGATATGTGTTTACCTTCGTTTGGTCTTCTCTGAAGATTTGATGTGCTGTTTAGAGATGCAACGGTCGTTTGGGCTACCTTCAAATGTGTTTATATGACGAAGTGTTAATCGTTTCGTTTACTCCTGTTTGAGTAGTGATATTGCACTTATCGTGTCTTCCATCTGCCAGGATCGAGGATTCAAGTGTATTGTCTGGCTTGGTGCGGCGAGTAATTATTCCACTGAGATTTGTTAAAGTTCATAATGGATAACGAAACGTAGAGATCTAATAAAACATGAACCCCAGTCTCAGCGTTTACACATGACGAGCTACTTCACATATTGGGCAAACCCTTAGCTGTTTCGGTGTGTGGAGGTTTCAGAATCTTTCTTGAACTTCTTTATCGTGATAAATGATATAGTATACATTCAGTTGAAAGATGAAGATGATGGTACTCAGATATTACGTCATTTCATGATATATATATTGAACACCAAAATAGCTACTTTATCTCGATGATTATTGGTTGATGCTTGACTGGATTCCAGTTACTTGACATATACACTATAAATATACATCCAATTGCCAATTTAGCTAGGGAATATAAACCTAGAGACGATTTGACTCCTACCAAGAAGGAATGATATACACAGATGCAATGTAAACTGGCCTGATAACACATGTTTCTACACTCACATCTATACAACACACTGTGCCAGTTCAAACACGTCATCTGTTTATGAACTTTAGAATTCGGGTTTATCACCTTGAGACAATAACAAGACTTAACTTTCCATGTTATTATTCACCGCAGTAGTAATGATCCCTACGATCGCTGTTATTTGTGACCAAAATCTGATCCTCCGATCTATGGGTTCGCCTTGAAATCTCAATTTATTCTAATGAAAATACTGTTATGATTTACCTGAACAATATAATGTATATAATGTAAATGTGCCATCAAGTTCAAGTGGTTTTGTTGCTGAGTTTTGTTTTCAGGCGAACAAGACTTGCCTGTGAATGTATTCGTGACGAGTGACCGCTCTTAATGCCTGGTATCATTTCAGAAGTGTGATTCATAAGAACACACTTCATTTTCTTCTGTCAAAGTTTTTATGGCTTATATATAGCAACTACACAGGTACGATTTTGTGGTATAAGTATATTGAAAAATAAAATATAATACCCCTGCACAATGAATCTGAGAATTTAGCTACAAAACAATGTCTGTAACGTTACAATGTTTGAAGCTATATGACTTCAATGATTGCTTGTTTCGAGCACGTATATTGTTCCGTTTAAAACGCTCATGGTCTTCAATTGGGCCTCGACTAAAGTGGCCCTCTACGCTTCATGTTTATGTACATACAGTTCACTCAAACACAGTTACTGCCACCTAGAAATGGAATGTGGTCAGAAGATCTTCCCCCTGCTGTGAAACAACAAGCCTTACTAATGGTACACGATTTGACCACTAATCGTTATGTACAGGAAGCGAATATGACGGATAGCCCTGTCTAGAACACACGTGGATCAGGTTGAGGAGAAAGACGATGCCGTTTCTCCAGACCTTACAGTATGTCTGTCATGCACTCCCCTGCTCTCACCTACGCTCACAAACTCCATACTCCCACACTTGCTGTTTCTTCTGCTGTAGAAAGTATAAGCCCCAATACCACGCGTTTACACCGCCCCGTATTACACTGAGGCTTAAACATGAGGGTTGCAGGACTACACCTTGTCGATGTCTATCTGCCTTTGACAATCGACATTACGTCCTGCTACTACTGGTACTGCTTCGAACCTTGGAAGGGTCATTTTTGGAAGTGGTGTAACAGAACATTTCTCTGGATCACATTTTGTCTTATTCTTCTGGCAGATCGATACATTTTTTTCATTACATACGGTTATGGGCTTTTTAATAAATAAGATTCAATATCAGTTATAAAAGTATGCAGAACATAATTGTCGTTAACACAAAGGTAATGAGGATAACCACAGCACAAGATGGCATAACGGTTTAAATGGTAACATTATTCCTTTTAACCTTTCTTTTCCTGCTCTTCAAAAGACTCAGCTAAATAATATATTCGCAGAAAGATGTCCCGGTAGTTATATTGTATTTAGGAGATCCTCAACATGTGCACCCCACATTGGACATTATCATACAGAAAATGGTGTCTTGTGACGTCATAAGGGTTTACTTGATACACAGTGAAGCGGCTATTGCCACATTCTCCATATGTTTACATCATTGTAATGATGTACACTGCGTGGATATGGAATGGTGCGTAACCCGTTTAATGTGTACGAGTTATCTTGTGTGTGCAATTGCACTGTCTGGTAATAATATCATTGATATTTTGGAGTGCACAGGTATTAGAGACTCGTTATTTGCAACGCAGTTTTAGACTGATCTATATTGTATATGAGAGAAAATGCCCCGTTACAATAATATTTTCAATTTTGTTGCAAAGGCTGAAGCAAAGTGTTAAGTTTTGTTTGTGACCTGGGACATGTATTTCTATTGCTAGATAGAACACCAGTGTGGCAGTAGTTACAAGGACACACCTCAACAGATTTGTCTGTTGACTATTAGGATTAATATATTAATAGCAATAAACAGCTCTTTCACAGACATATAGCTAGTTTCCTCCGATCATGTTTGTGATATAAATACACAGAGCCTATAGAGAAGCTGGTGTTTGGTTTCAATATCAAACTGTGATAGATAATGTTTGACATATATACTTTCCTGTTACATTAAATGAACATCCTTAACACTAAACAGGGGACCATGTTCTGTGTGCTCAATTTGTCTCTATGAAATCATTGTACCTAGGCACTTTTATAAAATCATTTTACACAGGTAGTTCTGCTTGAACACGTACAGCGTCACCAACAAGTCTGCATTATATAAAAGTGTATGTCATCGCAAATGTATAGGATACTGTTTTCCTATAAATGTGCATGGATGCAATATTATCATAATCTCCTCTTATTCAGGTAGAACACATTTGATGAATAGATAATAAACTTACCGATTGTGGTCATCACTGTAATTGCGTAGAGTAAGGAACTAGCAAATGACCATTGCATTTCGGGGACGTCTGCGTCACTCTTGTCCTTTCCATCCCAACCGTGGTCTTTTGTTTCTTTAAACACTGTCTTTTGAAAATCCTTTAACTGTTGATCCACAAGTGCAGTAAAGTTTTCGTGTCCAATCTCAGACAAGCTTAGTTCTGTTGCATGTTGCAACATTTTGTCAACCATCTTAATCCTTGTTTCTCTGATTTTTGTTTTAACTTTATTCTCGAAAGGTCCTTCAATTGCCTTAAATATGAAGCCCCCCATGATAGTATAGGCAACGACAAGAGAGCACAGTCCGATGTGTGAAAAGAGGAAAGCTGTAGCTTTCTTACAACATTGTAGACACTTTCTTCTCTTTTCTCTCATTGTACTCTCTCTTCTACTACTTAATCTCTTTGTTCTGTTTCTTGTGAGAGGAGGAAGAGGTTCTTCTCCTTGAATGGGTTCATCAGACGCTATAGGTTCGAACCTGATTTGTTTCCTGGGAAGATCAATTGAAACATCAGGTTCAATAATTTCATCATCAAGTATATCAGTCTCTTTTATGTCCGCCAGTTTGCTGAGATTTATCTCATTCTCAATAAGAAACATATCCTTAACAGGATCCTGATCAGAAATATTTTTCTTCTCTTCCAGTCCCTTCTTCTTCCTCCTGCTGGCGATTCGCTGTTTCAGAAAAATTAATGTAGTAAAGGACAACTTCTTTGGTTTGGGCATTGAATCAGTTTCAGGTGTATTCTTCTCATTTTCATCCTTCTCTGTAATTTCGGGAGAAGTTTCGTTGTCGGGAGAATTCTTATTAGAATCTTGTTTTTCACTTCCATTGTCCATTTCCTTTTCGTTATCAACAGTTTGGTTATTTTCTGGTTCTTCCGCCTTGCTCAGTTTCTTTTCTTCTTCCTTGTTAGCATCTTGTACAAGTGATGATAGCTCTTTCAACTTTTTCTTCTCCTTCTCCTTTTTCTCTTTCTTGTTATTCTTTTTACTCTTTCCAAAGAGTTTAGATTTCTCAGACAGATCAATTTCGGATGTTTGTGTACACTTGTCATACATCACTCGAACAGGGGACATTTCGTCATCTTTAACAACTTGTGCCTCTGATTCCAGGGTCGTTTTTGCTTCAATGACCTCTTCATCGACTTCCTTCTTCCTTCTAAATGATCTCCCGGTTTTACGGCGTCTCTTCTGAGATTCGCGTCCCCTGTTTTCGAGGGTTTTGCTCATTTCAGCAGTGCCAGTGTTATTCTCAGTGTCATCACCTCTCTCGGGCGATTTCGTCGCCTCTCTCTTTGTAGTCTCTATTTCTTCTTCATCTTTGTCCTCCTTAGGTTGAATTTGTTTTTTCTCCTGCTGTTTACACTTATCAGCATCAGTGACTTCGTCGGTTGTTGTCTTGTCTTTGTCAAATACTGGCTCTTGCCTTTTCGGAGAAAATGTTCTTTTGTACTTCCGCTGGACACTAGTCCCCATTACGGGAACTCCATTTCTATCGCCATTCGTGTATGGACGCTCACGCCCTGCTGTCTCCTGAGATGGTTCGCTGACAGCCGAAGGACTGCGATGACACTTTTGTGTCAATTTGTCAGGTTTTTCAAGCACAGTCAACCCCTCCCCATCACTTAGTGATCTATCAATCAGATGAGGCACCCCAAAGTAATCTTAATTTTTTTCGTTTTATCTTCGTTCTCTTCGGGTATTTCAGCAACTGGACTCATCTCAGTTGATGTCTCCTCAGGCTTCCGAGTTGGAGATAATGATTTGTGGGATTCATGCGCCTTAGCTATGCTGTCAAGTTTAGATCTCGGAGATGGACTCCTTGCTTTTTCCAGAAGAAGTCGACTTGGGGATAAATCCCGTCCCCCACTTATCGACATAGAGGAATGAGGGTTTGGTGAACGACTGAGTTCAAGGAAAAGTGACAATGATTTTTTCCTCCGTTTTTTCTGTACGTCCATAATAGCGTTTTGCCACCGGGAGATAGCTTTAGAAGGGGGCACACTAGACACAGCAACAGTGGGAGTCATTTTCTTATTTCTGTTGTATATACCTTCCACAAGTGCGACAATTCTCTCACCTTCACCAATGTTTAGTTCATTGTCGTTCTTCGCGTCCTTTGGATTACTGGAGATATCCCCAGCATCTTTGGCTTGTATATTAGATGTCGCCTTCTTAATAGTATCCTGTTGAGGGTCCATAGGAGGCTTCACTTCAACAATATTCGTCTGCCCCGTGGACGTGTCTTTTTCTAACAGATTAGCTATATCATGTACCATCACCTCAATTTGAGTCTGTGGTGATTCTCTCTCTGTTTGTCCGTTCTTATCACTTTTATTCTGCCCATCATCCTGCAACCTGGGCGATATTTGAGGCGCATTATCACTGATAATATTATCATCACTGTCAGCCTCTATGCTCACACGTCCAGACTTCAAACCTTTCCGTTTTTTGCCTGACCTGTTTTTCTTTTCTCTCGGCAAGGTAACACTTCCCCTAACCAAGGCACTAGCGCTGTCAACAGCATCTTTACTTTCATCAGGCCTGTGCTCATTAGTTTTATCTCCATGCGAATCTACAGAAGTAATGTCTGGCAGAGATGCAGTTCTTGTTCTTTCCTCAGCCACTACCTCAGTTTCAATCTGTTTGTTCAGACTGGACAACGCATAGCCGGATGCCACTAGCCTCCGTCTCCTCTCCTTCTCCGCATCCCTCACTGTCATCCTCCGTAATCTGTCCCTGGGTTGTTTGGTAATGTCATACACTTCATATGTACTGCTTCTATTGTCACAGCTTCTGGACCCGCGTTTAATGTCCTCCGCACTCTCATGTCTTTGTCCCTGTATTCTGGTCAACTTTTGACAGCTCTGTCTCAGATTTACTCCTCCTTCCACGACTCTCAGACCTGCTTTTCCTTTTAAACCACCCTGACAATCGCTTCCGTGACCCGCTTAACGAACGTGTCTTCTGTTCACGCGAGTTTATGGAATGCTGACGAGCTAAGGTACCCGCCGAAGTTTCTTTCATGTCGTCGGCCTCCAAGGGTTCAGCTGCCCCGTCAGAGGTAACTTTGGAATGTAAACGTTTTTTTCCGACCCCGATTTTTACTCTTTTTCCGAGAGAGTCTTTTTCCTTTCTTTTCAGCAGTATCTTCTGTGCCTCTGACCATCCCTCCATCCGCTTGTTCACTCTCACCTGTTACGTTTGAATCCATTATGCCATAAATTCCACAGTCTCACCTTTAGGAAAGTATTCATGCACAGATTATACAAGAATTTTTCTCTCTCTTTCTCACCTTTCTATTGGGTGCACACTCTCCCTTAATGCTCGGCGTATCCATGATATGAATGGTAATTGGGTTTACACAAGCCTCTTTGTGGAAAGAAGGTGGCGATTTTAAGGCATTCCATCCTACCGAAGCGCATACGTCTGTTCACTGACAACTTTTCCGAATCTCACGGCAGCGGATTCAGCCGCTGCCAATACACTAGACCAATCAACCACCAAAAATAGCACGTACCTGATTCATCATCATCATAATAACTTACATTTCACACGTGCAAATCGGAAATCCTTTCACAAAGTCCTTCACTAATCAATATCCATCAATGAAAAAAAGTACAATGAATATTCCTGCAGGAAAATATCCTTCACAGTGTTCGACACGGCAGCAATGCGCGCCTGCCGCCTACCCACATGCATCTAGCTGGGATTGTAACGTACACCACTGACTTGACTAAGCTGCCTCTGTGGTAAGTGTACGGATATGAAGCTCCAGAGATTGGGAGGTACTCGCTATCCAAGTGCTGGGCTACAGTGGCGGAATGAAAGGCCAGGCTCGGCAGTTCGCAAGTCCCTCCACGCACACACGTGAAGAGTATTCCTTGCTCTGCCGATAACATCACCTCTCCACAGCGTAGAAATTACCAAACACATTTATTTCTTTATTTGCGTTTTTACAATGCTGATTTGAGGTTGTTGAGTGATTTGGAATGAGTTAACATTAAACGCAGAGAAATGGCATTAGCTGCAATGTAAATTGAGTATGAAACTAGATGCCACGGGCCTCTGGTCTGTTAAACAACACTTTCATGCTGTACCTGTTCCGTTACCAACCTATTCTTCAAATATCATCTGTTACAAAATGCAAAACCTACCCGTCTGTTGTGTGTGTTTAACATTTCTCTTCAAAAACGTACTAACCATTTCTTCATCTAATTATTTCCGGATGTCTAACGATGCCTGCAGACACTTGTAGAGAACATGCTTTGAATACCCATTGTTGAGGAGGGATATGCATGACGAAAATACAAATCATTACACCAAAGTTACTATGAAGCTGTTCATTTAAGGCTTTCCTTGTTATTGTATTTCTGGTTCCTAAATCATATTATGCACATGTGAAGGGGATTTAAGTGAAACACTCCTTTTCATAGCGTTCGCCACTTGAAATAGAACATAATTTATACCTCGATTGTGAATGATTTCATTTTTAGATAAACCTGCAAAACTGGACGGTAGTTACCCATGTGATAATGATCCGGATCATACGAGTTCAAGCATCCTCATTCATCACTTGTTCTTAAGACTCTTTGAGTACCTACCGTTCTTTTCTCAAACTTTTAGGGGGCGGTGGGGTAGCCTAATGGTTAAAACGTCCGCTCAGCACGCTGAAGACTCAGATTCGATTCCCTCATGGGTACTATGTGTGAAGCCCATTTCTAGTGTCCCCCGCCGTGATATTGCTCGAATATTGATAAAAGCTGCGTAGAAGCAAACTCACGATTTTAGACAAATGAGGTATCAATCATGTGATTCACGCTTCTTAATCTCGATTAACGTTTTACACATGAAACGTGCACCACTAGCTACAGACAACTGTTGTTTACATTTAAAGTGTTAGTATACTGTATCAGCTTCTAAAAAATCCTTTTTCCTGGAGCAACTGCCTTTGCAGACTTGCAGAGCTATCAAGAACAATGCACGTTAAATTATCAATACATCCTTTGCACCAGATTATAATGGTTCTTGCAAGGATGAACATATCATTTCACATGTTATGTTTCAAAGTATATCTTCTCTCCAACCTACAGCAATGCTATCCCAGTGGAAAAAGTAGTCCATGTTTAAAAGAATCTCTACTTTATAGTATGTGATTATTCTTCCACACTTGTAAAAGTCTATTATCTAACCAATTCGCTCCACAGTATGAGAATAACGATTTAACACTTGCAAATTATTCTTTCTTATATTTTTTTTTATGCACCAACACTTAGTGTTCGCAATATAATACTAATATTAGTTTTAATGAATATACCCAGAAACTGGTTCGGCTATGACACGGCGCAGCATGCTGCGCAACTTTACCTTCAATGCCTTCGGAGAAGCAGTACCAGACGCACGTAAGATCATATGCTCATCACAACTACTTATCACAGGCCGAAGCAAGCACAGCAGAAAACAATAAGTCTGCGCAAACTGCAATTACCGTTGCGACGGCGTGGGGAGAGCACTAATTGGTTCGACGTCCCAGTAACAGCTGGGGGAAACGATGGCATTTGACACCCGTGTTTTCATTATACAGGTATTTTGTCGAGCTCTATGGTTGATGTACGTAGTCTATGAAACTGATACTGGTTCGGAGTGTATGACTACAAAAATGGATCCGTGAAGGAAGGTCATATGAAAAACATCGCCTATGTACATCGTCCTTGACGGTAGACAACTGCGTCTACCTGCGCATGCATGTTTCACAACATATTTTAGTGTAGACAGTAAATAATAAATCCGATGAAATAAGGAACGAGGTATGTTATTAGTAAACATGTCAAATACGTTCTATTTACGAGGTCTGGTACTTTCTAAGTAACGACTGTTTACGCATGGTTATCGCTGGTGTATGCGCATCGCAATGTTGAACCCTGTCAACTTGTAAATTCGGCACTGATTGAATGTGCTTGATTGTCCCCGACAACTATCACTTACTGGGATCAAATATAATGTATGTCCGTTGCACCGACATCAATTCGCAATGACACTCTGAAGAACATGTGCATGAATAAGCTTGTTTAACTTAACAGCAAAATTGTTGCTAAATCCTGGTTGCTGTCCACATCTTCGTAGAACGAACACAGAGGTAAAGTCACGGCAGCCCAAGTAAACAACCATCTGATTCTCCGGTGGTCGGGGGTGGTGGGGTAGCCTAGTGGTTAAAGAACCCGCTCAACCACCGTGAAAACCCGGGTTCGATTTTCCACATGGGTACAATGTGTGAAACCCGTTTCTGGTGTCCCCCGCCGTGATATTGCTGGAATGTTGCTAAAGGCTGCGTAAAACAATACTCACTCACTCTTGTGGTTGGACATGTGTGCGTGCGTGCGGGATGGTGTGCGCCTTCTTTCGAGCCTGGGATAATTAGTGTCCTTTAACACTGGAACAGGTGGAAATGATGCGAGAGGACAGCTGACGTGATATAGGTATTCGAAGAGACAACATGGCGACGGCAGGGGCTGACAATCCTATAAACACCTGGGATAAATCTGGAATGGAAAACATACAACATTGTACACGTACAGTGCCTTGTGGCGGCTTGGAAAACTAGACCACCCATACCCATTGCAGTTTAGTATTCAGACACGAACCACGATTCATGACCACTATCAATTGATTGCCCCGTCCAAATGTTCCCAATATCATGACCTCACGAACAACAGGTAGCGGCTGTTTTTATTGACAATGCAGAATGGGTGCAGCAACCTTACACTCACTTCACTTGCTCATTCACTCTTCCCTCTCGTCTGATTAAAGGCCGCGAGATGCTATCATGATAACAAAGAGGTCAAAACGTTTACTGCTGCCACTGATATCCAAACCACTCATCTAGATATTTCTGCCACTCGTCTAGATATCTAAGCCAATAATCTAGATATATAAGCCATTCTTCTAGATACCTAAGCCACTCATCTCTATATCTAAGCAGCATATCTAGATATAAAAGCCTCATATCTAGATATCTAAGCCACTCATCTCGATATCCTAACCACTCATCTACATATTTAAGCCTCTGATCTATATACCTGAGCCATTTATCGAGATATCTCTGCCTCTCATCTAGATGTCTAAAGCTACTAATTTAGATATTTAAGACACTTGCGTAGATCGTCTAGGCCTTTAGATCTTTAAGGCACGCGTTTGGATCTCATGTAGTAACTTCGATATGTAGCTAAGAGAGATCTTTTAATTTTCTTTACACAGCTAGACTTCTAAGATACTTCTACAGCTCTCCTCTATGGATAATTTCGTCACTACAGATCTCCTCTATAGATATGCATCGTCACTACAGATCTCCTCTATAGATATGCATCGTCACTACACATCTCCTCTATGGATATGTATCGTCACTACAGATCTGCTCTATGGATATGTATCGTCAGTACAGATCTCCTCTATGGATATGTATCGTCACTACAGATCTGCTCTATAGATATGTATCGTCAGTACAGTACTCCTGTATGGATATGTATCGTCACTACAGATCTCCTCTATGGATATGCACCGTCACTACAGATCTCCTCTATGGATATGTATCGTCAGTACAGTACTCCTGTATGGATATGTATCGTCACTACAGATCTCCTCTATGGATATGCACCGTCACTACATATCTCTTCTATAGATATGTATCGTCACTACAGTACTCCTCAATGGATATGCATCGTCACTAC